TAGCACTGAGCAAGCAATATCTACCGAAGATAGCACTGAGCAAGCAATATCTACCGAAGATAGCACTGAGCAAGCAATATCTACCGAAGATCCAGTAGCAACGGTGAATGGAACATCTTCAAATACCGAGGCAGAAGAGATAACTGTGTCTGAAACTACATTGCAAATTGTTTTGGAGCCTTCTGCAAAGAATCCTCCTGAGCTCCCGGTGCATACTCCTGCTATGGAAACAACAGAAAATGAAGAGAAAGCCCCAGTAATGGAATGCTCCACAAATCAAACTATAACTGTGGTGCAAACTGAGCCTTCAGTAGCAGAGCAGGTTATTAGTACTCAGGCTGAAAATGAGGCTGATAAAAATATAAACGGAGATCCATATGTGAACAGTGAACATAATGTGAGCAGCAAAGCAGATGCAGAAGTTGCTGCTGAGGATTCCCAGGAAGGGCTTAAGCGAAAACGTGGTCGGCCTTGTAAAATACAGGACATTCCACAATCACAATCGGAGACCACAGCTTTTAGTCAAGATGATACTTACAAAAGCAAGCTTCGCCAGCGATCTGTTAGTGAGGGTGGCTATATTCGACTGCACAAAGGTACTGAGAAAAAACTACAGAACAGAAAGCCAGGCCCCAAATCAGCTATCCAGCAGGTATAAGTGTACTAAAAATCTGATTTTTCAAAAAAAAAAAGTGGGGGGGGGGGGGGGGGGGAGGCAGGGGTACAGAACTATCTATAAAAATTGTGACGTTGTAAGAATTTATAAATACATTTTTTTTTCCTTCTGGCAAGCACATAAAGTGATATTATACTAGGACTTTAAAGAACCTAAAAACCATATATACTGTATATCAGCTGTACAACAAAATGATTTTAATTTTCCTATTAATATAACAATTATATAACAATTAGCTAAGCTGATTGGAATAGGGACAGAGAGAGAGAGATAGCTGGATGATATTATTGTTAATTAAACTTGTGTGCCACCCAATTCTCAATAACTATTGGCAGTTGACGATAATCAAACAAAAGAAAAAATGGCAAGTGGGACAGATCAGATAGAATGAAGCAAGAGATTTCACTTTCCTTCACCAAAGATCTGGGTAAAGAGCTAGGTCTTCACTGCTCTTCTAAGCAACATCAGGGTGGGAGCCATCTGGATCTTGGTAGAGAAGAACCTCATTTCAGAGAGCAGGTGTTGCTATAGAAAATGCATGTCTTTTGGGTCCTTAATAGATGACATGATTTAAAGCAGGGGTCGCCAACCTTTTGGACCTCAGGGACCACCAAACTCATAATTTTAGATCCCAGGGGCCACTAACTGGTTCTGTAGGCGTGGCCTAAGTTGTGGGTGTGGCTTGGTGGTCATGTGACTGGCTGAGCATGGCTTGTATGTAAATATTATAAATATTTATATAAATATTGTTTTTTTTTTAATTAAAAAAGAGCAACTTTTACCCAAAATCAGGCAAAGCAGGCAGGCAGATTGAGTTGCTCACAGAATCACAGATTCATTCAGAAATCTATCTGCCATTGGCTAGCTCTGTCACATAAAATTTGCTAGCAAGCAAACTCACAAAATTAACTCACAACATACCATGTATGTAAATATTGAATTTTTTATTAAAAGAGCAACTTTTATCCAAAATCAGGCAAAGCAGGCAGGTTGAGTTGCTCACAGAATCAGTGATCTATCTATCTGCCATCGGCTAGCTCAGTCTCTCAAATTTGCTTGCCGTGAGTCTGCACTGAATTTGCTTGCAAGCAAACCTTCAGTCCTAAGGGAGGTTCAGCTGTGCTTAGCTAGAAAGCAAGAAATCCAACCATTTCCGGCTTCCTAGCTAATCTAAATCTCCCGGCACAGCAGAACAGATGATGGTCAGAAAAAGGAAAAATAGCAACTTAGCAGACAAGTTTGCCAGGTAAGGAGTGAGTGGGCGGGGAGGGTTCCCGCGGGCCATGTGGGCTGAGCAGCCTTGTGTTTATGTGCAGCCTGTATTAATTGCTTTGGGGGGGTGCTCTCACGGCCCATCGGTTGGCGACCGCTGATTTAAAGGAACACAGAATTCACAAATCTTGTAAGATCAAATTGATTGGGCAGATAGTTTGGCAGACAGGTATATAAAAATTGTATATACAGATTATATTCTTTCAAACAACTTTTTTCTTTTCCATCAAATACAGATACAAATTTTCAATGCATTTAAAAATTTATTGAGATTGATCAAATATTTGTTTCCTATCACTTAGATAGAACTAATAAGATATATTTACCAATTATGAAATTATCCTGTATGTCATAGAGGCATGATTTGGCTGAACTGGTGGACAGGGAAGCTAAATAGAGTTATGACTGAGTGGAATGTGGGTGGGAGATTTTCAGGAAAAATCAGAGCCATGAGTTACATTGCACTACTTTAAGAAATATGACACAAAAGTATTGGCAACTAACTTCTATATTGTTAAAATACCAACATGGTTATCTATCAAGTCACTAGGAGTTAATCAAAAAAAAAAGATTGGCTTTTCTGGTCATGTATGTTGCTTCTCTGCAGGTAATATGAGTTGTTGGTTCTGTTTCTGTGTAACTAATATTAATGTTAAATATATCAATTTTTTAATCAGGTTGCTATGAAGCTAGTGCAAAGAGGCAAGAAGATGAAGCAACCCAAAAGAGAGATTATAGAACACAATGAGGCAGAAGCTCAGCACAAATGCAGTGAATGTGGGATGATTTTCCAGAGACGTTATGCTCTTATAATGCACACATTGAAGCATGAGAGGACGAAAAATTATAAATGCCCAGTAAGCACTTGGTAAAATGTATTATGAGTAAAGTTTCCTATGATAGTATTAACATATTCTTTGAATGCCAAGTTTCTCTGATGGAGTTTAACCTGATAATAGTTCTTGAACATACACTTCAATCCTTGTTTTATAATGATCAAGATCCATGGTTTGAACCATTACATTGCAGGTGGAGTGGCCATTTCCAAGTCTGGGAAATGTAAATAGACTTAATTAGACACATCTGGCTAATCAACATTTGATTTTCCCAGAGCGGAAAGTTACATATTTTATCTTTCAATTGAAACATATACATTATAGTTTCAGTTGTATGTGACTACACACACATCCCTATATCCCTATTTTTTAAATAAGATTTTTCACAAGAGGTCAAATATTTGTTTCCTTAGCTATGCAAAAAAGAGTTTCAGTACGGTGCTTCACTGCGAGCTCATCTTGTTCGTCATACCCAGAAAAATGAAGTGACTGTTGCAACTGCTAATATAGAAGAAAGTGGTGCTGCCACGAAGGGAAGAACTAAGCGAGAATTTATCTGTGATATATGTGGAAGAAGTTTGCCTAAACTCTATTCTTTGCGAATCCATATGTTGAAACATACAGGTGTAAAGCCACATGCATGTAAGGTAAACAAAAAACAAAAAAAAACCCTGTTTCCTTCACTGCAATGTTATTGCACTTTGTCTGGTAGAAAATAAGTTTTGGAATTCCTTTCCTCTGAGGTCCAATCTGTTTCTTCCTGAATTTCAGCAAAGCAGTTAACATCTGTTGTTTCATCTAGTGCAGATAGAAAACATACTATGATAAAAGTTTGACATTGAGAGCTGCATGACTTTGCATATTTCTGGATAATTCTAATTTTAATGATGTTTATATTGTAAATAGGCTTATTTATTTTTGAGAGGATTGTTTTCAATCTATGGAATTATGTTGATTGTTAGTCTCCCAGACTCTTCAAGTATGGAAAACATTGTCAAATCATGGCAATCATAGAGATATTTTTTTCCATTGCAGTCTGTTCCTAACCTGGTGCTTTAGGTCTTCTAACAGTGCACTTATTATTGCTACAAGTGAGTGTATCCACCTTGTTGATCCTCTCCTTTACTTTCATTTCATCTTTCCCGGCATCAGAGTATTTTCAAAGCACTAGGTCTTTGCATAATGTATCTGAAGTAGGACATTTTTTTAGTTATTTATTTAGTTATTTGATTTATAAGATTGCTCAAATCAAACTGCATGTCTGGATGGTTGACAACAACAACAAATAATATCAAAAAAGGATAATTTACATCTCAAATGAGAACTCTGGATTGATTTGTTCAGCAATCTATTTATTTGTTTTCTTGGCTGTTCATGGTATTCTCATGAGTTTTCTCCAATACCAAAGTTCTAAAAAGTTGATACTCTTTCTATCCAACTTCTTTGAATCCCATTACCATTGCCTTCTGCACAGTATGAATGATGTCTTTGCCACTATAAGTACAATGATCTGCCTCCCAACAACTTTCTATATCACTGCTGCCCAATATAGAGAGCTACTTGCTTTTGCTGTGCAGCTGGGATAATTTTTACAACTTGGGACATTCTGGTGGAAAATATAATCTTCACATACACACTGGGATCTTTGCTTATTCCCTCCCTTTCTCCCATCACCCTCCCTTTCTCCCATCACAGTGAAGCAGCAAACAGGATTTCTGAGGGAATGGATAACATGCAACAAAACAAATAAAAAGTATCTCCCCTAGCAAAGTAATTAGTTACCACAAGGCTTTGCAAACTCCAGATGACCACTAGATGGTAGCAAAAAGTGGGTGTTTTTGATGTCTTTACTGTCACAGAGTAGTTGTATGGATTTTTTGCAATTCAGATTTCACAGTTCTAATCTAATTTTCCAAAGAATGCTAGCCCTAGGGGAAAAAATGTCAAGTACTTATGGATCATAGTATAAGCAGATTCAGTGAAGCTTTCTTCATCTTAGAGTATTGCTGTTCAACTTGAAAGACAATATTATTTTTGTGATTTGTTTAATAGGTTTGTGGAAAATCATTTACCTACAAACATGGTTTAAAGATGCACCTTGTATTACATGAGGCACAAAAGCAGTTTAAGTGTGAATTGTGTGACAAGTCCTTTGTCACAAAAAGAAGCCTTCAGGAGCATATAAGCATTCACACAGGTAAATGACATACATTATTAATTAATGTCAGAAATAAAATAATGTAAAAAGGACTATAATGTCACTTTTCTATCTAATGAGTTTCCTCTTTCACTTTATTTCTGTACTTTTATACAGCCAAAAAAACTCCTACGTAAGATTGGTTATGTGTAGTAAACATGGTTTAACATCAGTCTGGCCAAGATGCCAATCAATGGGAATTATATAGGTGGTTTTTTTAAGACTAGAAACCAGCTATATTTAATTACCAGTGATAGCGAGCCTGTTACTGAGTAAATCAAATGTAGTTTCACTTTATTGATTGCTGGGGCTGAGTCAGCTGGACTGGGTGGCTTCTTCTCCTGCTATTTCCAGGATTGAATGCTCAGTGGGGTTGGGCAACAATCTGTATGGGACCAGTATTCTATTCATTCTGAAGTTGTAGAGAGAATGTGCTACCTGTTGAAACCTCCAAACAAGCTCAAAGAGTATAGAGCCAGTTTTCAGGAATGTATAAAACACGTATGCTAAAAACTACAGCCACATTTTTAAGTAAGTGTAAGTGACTTCAATAAAAAAGTGAAGCATTCTACACATCCTTGAGCAAAGTCTTTGAAATAAGTCTTTTATGCTCTATATTTGACCAACTGTTTTAATCAGTATGTGAAAAATTATTTCCTACTGAAAATTATTATTAATATGTAATATTCAATATGTTATTTGGGAGCAGGAAACAGCCATACTAGTTAAGAATAATGGCATAATAGTATCATAAAAGTGAGATTAAAATTTGTCGAGGGGAGGTAATATGAGAAGGGGGAGTTGGATTATTTGTTTATTTCAGGTTTAGAAAGTTTATGAGTTAAGATAATGGATTGTGAATATTTTGTTTCCTATCAAAAATTGAGATAGTTACTTATCCTTTTGCCAGATTGTCATCAGATGTTAAGTCTAGGAGCCTTTTGGAAGTTGCATGTGATCTGTAGTTTACCTAGCCATATATCACAGATACTTTTATCATTTTCAGGAGAATCAAAATACTTCTGTCCACACTGTGGAAAATCTTTTCATAGAGCTTCAGGACTTAGTAAACACTTAAAGAAACACCAGCCCAAACCTGAAATCCGTGGCTATCAATGCAACCAGTAAGTATAATTAAGTTTTTAAAAGGTTTGAAAGTAGCTTGGCTAATCTTGGTAAGTAATAAGTGATTTTTTTTTAATCTTGGTGAAAGCCAAAATTGTTTAAATATTAGTTGAATTGTTACAAAATTTCTCAAAACTTTGAAATAATTTGTAGGCAGTCTTTAGATTAGAATTGTAATATCATTTTTATTAGGTATTTCTAGAGTAGGACTTACACCATTATATTGTATATTCATGGTTCCAGTTAGCCGTGATCTGAATCTCTCCTCAGTGTTATTAGCCTGTTTGGCTGGAATTTTTGCCCCTTAAAAACATTTCAGATATTCTAATTCTAATTTCTTTATTCTTCTCCTTATTGTTTTCTTATAACAGGAGTTCAGTTTTAGTTTTTTTCCAGCAATCTCAATACAAATTCCTAAAGGGAATTAATTCTCCTGTTCAGGATTTCAGCCCACCATATTTGTATAGTTTCAAATAGAGTATTTCACTCTCATTCCATATTTTGGGTTCATATTAACACTAAGCATTGTACAGCTTTCAGGTAAATTCAGTGCTCAGTGAGCTAGAAATCTTTTTACCTGAATGAGTGGGTTTTCCATTAGATTTTTTTTAATTTTTGTAATTCCTTATTCCTCAGTGTCTTTGAACTTACCACTACTCTTTGTTTTAGTGCCTTTTGGGTTCCCTAATATTATAATAATAATTCAACTAATATTTAAATATTTGCTATTTTCACTTAGTGCTCTTGCTTGTTAAAATTGTATTGATCTTATTTTTCCATTGCATAGGGCATGGAAATAGTAGTTTAGATTAGTTTCAAGATAACAAATTGAAACCATTCTTTTTTATTTTATAATGTTATTATTTATTCAGGAATAAAGTATTGTGTTTGTCTGAAAACATGACCCACCCCAATAGTAAGGCCAACCCTAATTTTTTTGGATGGGCCTAATATTACCCCTACCCTGAAAATAAGCCCAGGGGAATGGGCGTGACCAGCACAAGTGGTGATACGGGCCCGCTGGCCCCTTGGGGCAGCGCAAATACCGCTTTTTGCCCTTCTCTTTCTGGGCACAGCCCTTCTGCTTGTTGAGCCACTTCCCCAAAGCCTGCAGCTCTGCGGCCAGCTGCTTTGCTTTTTCCCTCTTTTTGGGAAGCTCACGGGATGCTTTTTGGTGAATGGGAGGAAAATTGGGAGGGGGGATTTTCCTGTTTGCCATCTATTCCTCAAGCTCAGCACATGTGATGACGTGGGACATGGCACAAAGGCAACACAGTCACGTAAGTAAGAAAAGTCCCTTTAATACCTCTAACTTTGCCCCCAATGTCCAGTTACCTTCAACTGTCAACTATTCCTCAAGCTCAGCACAGAGTGATGGCAGGCAGGAAAATTCCCCTCCCCATTTTCCTCCTGTTCGCCAAAAAGCCTCCATTCCGAATGCTGAAGGTTCGGAATGGAGGTGATGGTGCGTCCATGATGCATCCAGCTCACGGGGTGTGGCTGCTGCAGCTCAAAAAAAGTAAGATCACCTCAAAAAAAAAAAAAAAAGCCCAAGTGCTTATTTTCAAGTCTAAAAGAAAATAAGACTCGGTCTTATTTTCTTAGAAACATGGTAGCAATATTGGTTGTAGAATAGTCTTGAAAATAGTTCTGGAATATAATCATTCCTTTTTTCCTAACCTGATAGAGAATTAACTATTTTGTAGTTCAGGCAAATTGTTTCATATTTTTATAGGGATTGTTGAAAAATATGAAGTAATAGTATTAATGCATGTATACATATGGCTGCACTGTGGCAACCTCTCTTTTCTTTACTAAGGATTATATACATGTACTCTATATTATTCATCACAAATCTAATTTCAGGTGTGAGAAAAGTTTCTATGAACCTCGGGATCTCCGCCAACATATGAACAAACATCTTGGAGTGAAACCTTTTCAATGTCAATTTTGTGGGAAATGCTATAGTTGGAAGAAAGATTGGTATTCTCATGTAAAATCACATTCTGTTACTGATCCATACAGGTAAACAAAGCTGGGTACTCTTGGCTGCAAATACTTAGATTTAAATGAAAGCTTTATGTAACCTGTAATTTTGTTCATGTGATGGGATAACTTTTAAATGCAAAAAACATCATACCCAGTGAAGTTACTGAAAAAAAAATTTCATTTTATTTTGCCTCAATATTTTGTTTTGATTTTTTTAGTTAAGCAATCTATTACCAATTTATTCAATTCCAACAAACTCTACCAGAGTTTATATCACTGTATAAATCTGATTATATCTATCAATGTGTTTGTAGATTTAGACTTTCAGTATTGTACTTTTGAATTATTAAGAGTTCTTGGTAAGGCAGAACTCTATGTAAATCAGAAAATAAAAAAGATGATGTACTATAAGTGGATGATGAGCTATGAGATTACCTCTAGTGCTAGTATTTCACTTTTGCTAGCAGGTTGGAGAGCTATTTTTGAACTACACCAGCTTTCCTATATCACTCCAGTAGTTATCATTACTTATATTTAAAATATTTTTAACTACATTTTTTTAGTAAAGTTAGCTATCATGGAATATAAGAAAAGGTAATCCTTGAGATTTTCCTTTAGGTTTTTCACAGGTTAGAAAAAAATTTATAATGTATTCAAACCAGATGATACCAATAAAAGAATAAAAATGTAAAAGAAATTTCTCTTTTACTTTAACATTGTAAGCCACCTGATCATCTGGAGTTGGATAACCTCTAGCGCTAAATAAAATCAAACAGTTCTTGGAATTTAGGAATGATATGTTAATGATACATTATTTATTCTTATTAGTGACAAGTGACAATGTCACCTTGGTGTTTTGTAGCAAAAAGGAAAAAAACAGTTGATATGGTAAGCTTTTATGTACAGTTACAAATGATAAACTGAAAAAATAGTGGCTTGGGCAAAGCAGTAGTCAGTAGTTGAGGTATCAAGTTTATTCTTTTAAAATTTCTCCTATAATAAATTAGAAATTCCTTCTAATATTGGCTTCAATCTCCTTTATGTAAGAAAACATTCTCTAAACTTTTCTGTTTAATTTATGAAAAATGCAATCTCTGCTCACCCAATTTTCATGGCACTTGCTTTCAAGAATCAAGAGAAAGATGCATCTTGTGGAGTGAGAATATGATATCAATAGAAGTTTTATTTGGGCACAAAAACGTCCTGATCAATAAAAATACATAGAGCTATTGGTAGTTTGCCAAAGAGGGAAAAAGCAAGATGGCATTGAAAAAGCAGGGTTTTTTTTTTAATTAACTCTGCATAACTTGCATAAAATTTAGGGTTATAGCCCGCTCCCTTATCTGTCCCAAACTTCAGTTGGAGACTGTTTGCCATTGGACCTGAGAAAAGAAGGTGTTCCAGAGTCATAAACATTATTGCTGAGACAAGATAAAACTATATTGCTGTATACCTGAGCAGGAATTCTGTTTTGCTTTATTTGAAACATACTATCTAATATTGCTTCCTTAATTATTGTATTTGTATATGGTTATAGAGTTTTTAAAAACTATCGGGCCCCATTGTCTCTGAGCCTTCCAAAAAATATTAACTTTTTAATACCAGTTCTCCACTTTAACTTGTTCTTACTTTCACAAATGGTAAGCACCCTAACATTCTTATCACAATAGTCTATTCAACTATTAGATTAGCATTTAAAAGGTGTGGGGGGTTTTGTATTTTATCAAGCTGTTATTTTCTTTGTGTTTAGATGCAATGTGTGCGGCAAAGAGTTCTATGAAAAAGCTTTGTACAGGAGGCATGTTAAAAAAGCCACTCATGGGAAGAAAGGGAGAGCAAAACAAAATTTGGAGCGTATTTGTGAACACTGTGGGAGAAAATTTACCCAGCTTCGGGAGTACAGAAGACATATGAACAACCATGAAGGTAAATGAAACAAGTCTGATTTTTTAAAAAATAGCATCTAAGATAAGATATTAATAACAGGTACCAGCTGTAAACCAAAGTGTGAGACAGCAGATAAAAATCACAATTAAATTCAATAAAACTAGTGGTAAAGGAGTGATAGTTTTAGAATAATAAAACAAAACAGCCATATTAAGAGAAATAAGAGTGTATTGGTTAGATCAGGGATGTTAAACTCAAGGCTGGAAATATCAAGGGACTGGGCCGCAGTGACTGGTGACTAAAACAGGTGGTATGCTAAAATGGGCCGAAAAACGGGCCCAAAATAGCCCCCAAAACGGCCAAAAATAGGCCACACAGTCCATTTTCAGCCAGTAGAGTACTGCAGGAGGCCATGGAGGTGCAAAAACAAGGTGCAGGGGGGCCGCGTGTGGACCCCCTGTGCTGTTTTGGCCAGCAGGGTGCTGCAGGAGACATCCGTTTCTGCCTCCCTGGCTGCCGGCCCACAGAGGAGAACTATAATGCTGATCCGGCCCTCAGAGAAATCCAGTTTGAGATCCCTGGGTTACATTAGCAACTATATAAAAGGGATTTGTGCATGTCTGCAAATCGGAGTAGATGGGCTATTATTAATTTAAACTGGATAACTTTGTAATAGAAACAGTAGAAAAGGCATGGGTTACTATTTCAAGGACCTCTTCACCCCAGGGGCAAAGCCTTTGTTCAAATGTGATATTCTGTAGTTTCCCCCAGGAACAGCTGTTGGGAGATCACTAAATCTTGCCAGCGATAGGATGCTTCTGAAATTGGGAGCAGTTATTTAGCTTGAAAAAGCCAAAGGACTGCCCCAAAACACGTCTCTGAGTATGGCAGCCAGATCTAATTAGGCTTCCATATCCTAGATGTGTGGTCTAGAATCGTGGTGGTGAACCTATGGTACGTGTGCTAGAATGGCATAGAGAGGTTGCCCGGAAGAGCCCCACTGTGCATGCATGCGCGCTGCCACCGCCACCCGACAGCTGATTGTCGGGTATCTGGCGCGGGAGTGCATGGGAGACGCACAGCGTGCATGGGGAGATCGTGCATGCATGCACAGACACATGGCACGGGGATTGCACGCACATGCGCAGACACATGGCACGTGGAGGATCATGTGTGCATGCAGACGCATGGTATGTGGGGGATCATGTGCGCATGCGCAGATGCGTGGTGAGTCGCACATGCATGCACAGGGGACATGGGGGCCCCCAGCACACATTGCCTTCTGGGTGCTGGCAAGCACGCGTACAATTTTCAGCACGGGAGCCAAAAAAGGCTAGCCACTACTGGTCTAGAAGCTGCCTCTGCATGTTTAGATATCCCATCATCGGGATTCGATTAAGTGAGAAACCACAGCTTTTCAGTTTCTCATGCAACGTTCTATCTCAAGATGAAACAAAGTCATCCATAAGGACTATTAAGCCCATAGGAAAAAAAAGTGACTTTAACCAATAAGAGAAGGTGCATTCCAAAAATAACTTTTGAGTTTCATTATACCAGCTTTATGGAATAAAACCATATTAGGAATACATCGTGGGAACATGTCATATGTTCCTTAAAAATTTGAATTACACCTTCTTTAAAGAAATAAATGTCATTCACAAAACTGTTTTTTTAATTTTAAAAGAAAAAACTGATGGAAGTGAGGGGAGCTGAAGGCAAGAGTTGTTGCTCTGCAGTGGCAATTCTCTGGAACTGCCCCCCTTGTACAGATCAAATTGCCACCTCTTTTCTGTGCCAGCCAACAGGGTAACAAGCTGCTGCTTTCCACAGTCCAGAAATATGCAAATTGGGTAGAAATTTTAGGTGGAAAGAGTCCCTTTTCTCTATAGCTAAAGATGACAACTGTAATGTAGTCAAGGCTTGGCACAGGTTAAGACCACGATTCAATAAACAAATAAAAAAATCCAAGGGAGAAGATGAGAGACAAGGTGGGGTAGAATCCAGACTTCCAAACACAGCACAAGGTAAACATGGCAGAGCTGAGACTTGAAAAGCTGTTTTCAGAATTTTCTTCGTGGAGTTTGGCCAATAAATACGTCATTTAAGCCACCACACAGGCACACAGCTGAGATATTGTACATTACCCAGTTGTCTCTGTTCTTCTGCCAACCTCCTCCTTGGCCAGTCTGTCTGACCAGAATGCAGCTCTCTATGTTAAAAGCATGCCTCTGCTTGGGACTAGGTGGGTAAACCTCGGAGTCTGACAGGCTTGCCTTAGCCAGAATGGAGTTAATTGACTTCAACACTGCTGAAATTACACCCTCCAGAACTATTATCTCTAGAAGCCCCTGCCTCTATTTTCTCTGCCTCTTCCCATTTCTAGTCCAGCAGGGTCGTAACATCTTTGTTGAATTCAAATATGTGTTCTAACTACCTAGGTCGTTTAGTAATCTTTTTACTTTCAAATCAATTGTTACTTTTTTACTGCTACTTTCATTTGGTTTACTTTATGGTTTATTTTATTTTGTTTTAAATTGTTTTCTGTATTCTAAGATTTACGTACTGTGGATACGTTCGTGTTTGAGATGTCCTTGGTGTTCTCTGCACTTAGCTGTTTTCTTGCAGAAGTTTCATTACCCAAACTAGATAACATCATCAGTGCTAATCTGAAATATAGTCATGTTTTTATCTCATGAAAACCATTCAGAATCAGTGGCAGCATGATAGAAATTAACGTGAGACCCTAACCTTCTGTTACTCTTTGGTAGATTTGGTTTGTGTGCGTCAATTTCTTTTTAATTTTTTTCTAGTTTTGTAATTTTTGCCATCTTCATCTTTTATTTTTGTTTATTATGGTATTTTTCCTATTTCATTTTTTTTGTTTTTATTCATTTTTTTTCCAAATGGTTTTAACTGGGATTAGGCAGTGTTTACATTTGATAATTAAATAATAAAGATATGGCTGTAAATGAGCATAGCTTGGGTATCCTGCATCTTTAGGAAAGATGAAAGAGCTGAAACAGATAAGCTGTGTTTGCAATTGCCCTATTGTTTTCTTTCACTTTTGTGTGGAAAAATGGATGACAGATTCCCACAAATCCCATGATTTATTTAAAACAGAATCTATGGAGAACTGAATCTAATCCTTGCATCATTTTAATTTCTACATCTCTGATTGAAGGTAAAGATAATTAGCTAATTATAAATTATGTATCTGAACAGATATAATTAATATGTTGCATTTGCAACTTATTTCCTTTTTATCTGTCTAAAACTAGCTTTTTAAATTATAATCCCAGTAACATGCAAATAGATGGGAAGGAATGCCATTTTTCTTTTAACACTTAACAAACTTATCCTGGGTTTATAGGTGACCCATCAAGATTTCTCTATGCAAAATGACCATATAAAGGTTTATATAATGAACTTACCGGCTGTGAGAAAATCTTAATCAGTTTTTTATAATAATTTTCACTTTGTAAAAATTAGTAAATGCTTTCTTTCTGTTTCTGTTGAATAGGTGTTAAACCTTTTGAGTGTCTAACTTGTGGTGTTGCTTGGGCTGATGCACGTTCCTTAAAACGTCATGTAAGGTCGCACACTGGAGAAAGACCTTATGTATGTCCTGTATGCAATGAAGCTTACATAGATGCCCGTACGTTAAGAAAGCACATGACTAAATTTCACCGGGATTATGTACCTTGTAAAATCATGCTGGAAAAGGACACTCTTCAGTTTCATAATCAGGGGACTCAAGTCGAACATGCCATCAGTATTTTAACATCGGATGTGCCAGAACAAGAAACAGAGGTCTGTACTGAAGAGATTGAGACTGTAGTAATTACTGAAGAAACAGTTGACACTGTTACAGCTACCGAAGAGTGTTCAACAGTTTCTACTCTTTCTGACCAAAGTATCATGCAAGTTGTCAATTATGTATTAGCACAACAAGGACAGAAAGTAGCAGAGGTTACAGAAGCTATTCAAACAGTAGAAGTAGAGGTACAGCATGTTTCTGATCAAGACTGAATACAAATATTCATTAATGTAGTACCTTTGCAAAACAGCATGTAATTAACAAAATATTAACTGTCTGGCTGGACTTTTATAGTAATTTCAGAATCCTCTTCTAAGTTTTGCGAAAAAACATACATCTGTAATTAAAAAGTAAATTCACCGGATAAGTAATGGACTTGCCCTAAGACTACTGCACCAGATGTAAATGCTTAGTTTAAAAAAAACCTTTAAAATAAAATCATTTATGTGATGGTGATAGTTATAATGTAATTTTTGATGCAGCTATTTTTTTTGTTGAGGATTTAATATACCAAAGATTTGTGCCAATCATTTTCAGATTGTAGCTATATAAAGTTCAAGGAAGGATATGATCTACAAAAATTATGAATGTTATTAATGGAGATAAATATTGTGGTATAATATATTTATTTAGTCAAAATATCTGTATAATTTCCTTTAAGTACAAAAAATAGGATGACATAAACTTCCTTACAGAACAAATTTTTCCATAAGAACTATTTCAGGTCAGGCTGCATTAAACCATCGGCAGTTATGGGAGAGAAACTGGGCAACATCAGCCAAGCATGAAAACATCTTGCATTTCCTGTTTTGCTTTACCTATTTCTGAAAAATACTTCCAAGATTACATGTTTTGAGATTAGCTAAAGTATTTGTATATATCATGTATAAACTGATAAAAATTGGTTCAGTTTAGGATGAACTAAATACAAATGCTGTAATATAAGAAAAACTGGATTGCTTAAATTTATTACTGTTCACAGTGAAGGTTCTAAAGTTTTAGCTTTCGTACTGTCCTGATATTTATATAATATTGTTTTAAAATTTAAGTAATTATGTGGATTAAAGTTTGTGAAAAGCAAATCAAATATTACCTATTATAATGAATACACAATTTTGCAAAGTAATAACAGCAAACAGTAGTATTGTATACAATATGTAATGTTTTTAATAAGTCAGCCCCACTTGCCAATAAAATAGCTTCATGAGCAAAAAAAGGGATATGGGCAAGTCCATGTACTCCATATACACTTAAAAATCTGTACAGGTAATCCTCAATTTACAACAGCTCATTTAGTGACCGTTCTGGTAAGGCACAGGTTAAGTAGAGTCTATTTATTGCTCGCTCATCACAGCATTAAAAGGCCCACCAATGGTGCCTGTGAACCTCCACCCCAGCCCTCAGTTTTCCCTCAGTCTGAATTCCTCTGTTCCACAAACTAAGTCTTAGCTGACCCACACGGCAAAGAGAGAAGTAACAGTACCCACAAGTACCAAATCTGCCACACAAGTCCAGAGTGCCCAAAAATCAAAGTACGGTCCAAAAGTTCGAAGTCAGAGAGCCAATTCCAAAGTCCGCGAGTGAAGCCCAAAGTTCAGAGGCAAGAGACGATCCAAGGCAGCATTCACAAAAGCCAGGAAGGTGCACATAAAAGCAAACAGGTGTTCCTGACAAACATACCTTCATCCAGCATCTGGTTTGGTTCAATCATCCTTTCCCAGATGTTCCTTGGTAAGCGGGGTGGAGCTGCTTCCTCACAATCAGCCTCACCAGCCTCCTCTGTGCCTCCCTCCGCTCTATTCTTCTCACAGTGGGGAAGGCAGCTGTTCCTCATCAGAGGTGGTCTGGAGCCTGTTATCTGCGCGGGCCCTCTGCAGCTGCTCCACTCCTGTAGACGGTTCTCCAGTTGGCCGTCACCACCCACTACCAGACAATCCTGGGACTGCCTCATCCTCAGCCCCTGGCTTTTCCACTCATTTTGAGGGGACTGTCCCCTCCCTGTTGAACAGCCTGGTGCCAACTCCTCTCCGAACCAGGATTCAATAAAGCCATGACAACCCCCATGGTCACATGATCAAAATTCAGATGTTTGACAATTGACTCATACTTACGATGGTCAGTGTCCCAGAGTCATGTGATCCCCAACTTTCTTACAAGCAAAGTCAAGGGGGAAGCCAGATTCACTTAACTGTTGCTAATTTGACAACTGCAGTGATTCATTTAGCAACTGTGGCAAGAAAGATTGTAAAATGGGACAAAATTCATTTAATAAATTTTAGGCTCAACTGTGATCCTAAGTTGAGGAATACCTGTATTGTAAAATTGTCATGCCTCGTGGAAAATCTAGTTCACCTGAGAACTAGATTTTTTCCAAAGGAAGGTTTTAGTTGTTCTTGTATATTTATTTATTTATTTATTTAAGAAAATTTATATGGCTCCCAACTTACTTTCAGTGACTCCAGGTGGCTTTGCAAAATCAGAACAATGGGCAGATTGTGGGAATTCTAATTTAAATATAGTACCTAAACATTTGTGGTTTCCAATTTAAGGTTTCCCAGCACTCCCTTTAAAAATGTGCTAGTAGTACAATAAATTGGTAAAAGTAAGGTAATTTGATAAACCTAAAAGCTGTATCACTATTTTAAATGATTAGTACAGATGAGTCTTTCAAAAAGGGGGGATTATTTCTCATGAAATATTTCCCGTATGTGATAAACTTTGATGATCCAAATCTTATTTGTGTAGATACATATCAGATTGTTGCCTATAACAAGTAAGCTAAGTTACAGGTAGTCCTTGACTTACAACCATCCATTTAGTGACTTAGTTCACTTAGTGAACTTACACAGGACTAAAAAAATGGTCACATAATCAAAGTTTGGGTGCTTGGCAACTGGCATGTATTTATGACAATTGCAGTGTGCCAGGGTCATGTGATCACCTTTTGCGACCTTCTGGCAAATTAAGTCAATAGGGAATCCAGATTCATTTAACATTCTTATTACTAACTTAACAACTGCAGTGAATTCACTTAACAATTGTGGCAAGAAAGGCTGTGAAATGGGGTAAAACTCACTTAACAATTAACTGTCTTTCTTAGCAATGGTAATGTTGAATTCAGTTGTGATCATAAGTTGAGAACTATATGTAAAGTTCAGAAATAATGAATATTAAGCATATGAATGAAAGCAGAAGAGATAGGAAATGGAAATTTAAAACTAATTTACATCTTCACCATGCCTCTCCACCTTCTATTCTTGCAAACCGTGCTTCTACCATTTCTATAACCAATTCATAATGTCCTTCTCCCTTTAAATTTATCATTCTTTTCCATCGACACCATGCAGATAAATTTTTCTGTTTTCCCCTTCATTTCAACCCATTCCTGAACTTCCTAAATGGGTGGCTGGCAATGTAGTCTTTAAATATCCTCTCTTGCATAGAATAGGATGAGAACATGGAACAAAATTGGGTATTGCCTAAACTGACAGGATAACCTGTACTTATCATTAGCAGGGAATACTGCATGTGATATAGGTACTACTAAGGGTTCTAACCTACTCTAAATTATTATTAAATGCATTTTGTTTTATTTGATTTTAATAAAAATAAGTAGATTGAAATACTATTGTAAAATTGTTAGTTAAGCTAAGCAGAGGTATGTGAAATTAATTTCCAGTTCAGTCATGATGCTGTAAGTAAGGCGATACTGTATGTTTTCTTTTTAAAGTACTTCTTTTCTTAGTCCCTATTTATTGTAAGAAAAACAACCCAAGTAACAAGAGGGTAGGGATGTGCTTTTCAGCTGTCACCTTACACTTACCTGTATGCTTTGCTACCATGCAGTGAGTCTGCCATGAACTCTAGATTCAGATGCACTTCCTAGCCCTGCTAACAGATAGCTACAGATAGTTCTTACTACCAGAAATACAATTTGCTCTCTGAAACGCACAGAAAAATTTCCAGATCTATATGCACTAGAGGAGAAAGTATTTATATGACAATTTTTTCAAGGAAGACTATTGTGAAAAAATACTATCCAGTACTACTAACAAAGACCTAGTATGAACTGATTATTCATTTGTTTGCTGAGCAAATATCCCAGTTTAGCAGTTTACTACTTTATGTTACTTTAGCAAAAGTGGTACATTGCTTTAAGTTCTTCATGTGGTCAGATAGTGTTTCCATAAGATAAATGACTAGAGCAATTATATTTTCTAAGTTTAATTCTTCTTTAGTGATATTGGCATAATTCCAGCAATTTTAGAAAAATCTGCTCCAAATATGACTAAAGTCTGGACACAATCCATTATACATCCTAAATAGTCTATATTCTGATGAAACCAGAAGGAAATGAGGTATTTCTACGGATTAGCCAATAGAGGAAATCAAAAGTTGTTTAAGATGAATTTGTGTTTTCATAATTCCCTTGTACAGTTTAGGATACAAATTATAACGTAAAAACTTCACTATGTATCTGGTTTTGTGTGACTAATACAGTTGTCTCAACAACTAGATCATATGTCTAGATAATATGCAACATCCAATGTATGGTGTCCAATTTGCATTCCCATATTAAAGTAGCATAAAAATACTTTGAAATTCTGCAAAGATCTTATGAACACAAAACTGGGAGGTTTCACACTTAGTTATGTTAAATCTGAATTACAGAGCACATACACTATTACACTGTTTTGAGTTACAGGAAAGTTCTGAAAACACACATTAAGAGTAGCATAGAACAAGTCAGTTACAGACTTCAAAGATCCCAAGCAATTGATTTTGAAAAGGCACTAAATAGATTTCTATTTATGCAATATTTATAGGTTTTGTGCTTTTATGATAAGTAACTGAAAAAATAAATCATCATAAAGTCTTGAATTTGCATAAGGAGTAGAACCATTACAGTTGTAAAAAATTAACTTTTACATTTCTTGTATATAATGCAGAATTGAAAGAAAATATAAATTACAGCCTTTAAATTGAAGACCAAATAATTTGCATACAAATACTTAAAATAGCAACATGCTTTGAACTTAAAAGCCCAGATGACTAACTGATAAAATTATGGCTGAACTTTAAAAAAAAATTGGATCAAGATCCAATAATATGAGTAGATTTCCATTTAGATAATTTAGAGCATTTCTCATCTGCTACCCCAAAGCTATGGAGAACTCCCTTCAGGAAATTCTTGAGAGAACAATTGGGTGTGACGATAGAGACATTGATACTGGTTAACAAGACAGTGTTAGATGATTTTTTTTTTGTCACCAAGAAGTTTTAATTTTAGAACAACAAAGTTGATGGTAGATGATTGGAATATGCTCATAACATTCAACTCTATACTATAACTGAAAACAGTAGTTTATGTCAGTGATCCCCAACCTTTTTGATGCCGCGGCCCGGTACCGGCATCAGCTGGGCACCGCGGCCCGGTACCGGCATCAACTGGGCGCCGCCATCTTTTTTGATGAAAAAGTGCTTCCGGTGAGCTTTCTACCCGGAAAAGCTCACCGGAAGCACTTTTTTACCAAAAAAAGATGGCGGCGCCCAGCAACCAGCGGCCCGGTAAGACTTGTTCTGCGGACCCCTGGTTTATGTGACATTAGTTATACTTACTTTCATCTATTCTTACTAGGCCAATTAATAGTATTTTAAGGATCATAAAACTCAGATATTTATACATTTTGATGGTTTTAGCAAAAAGCATTGTCAATGCTGCTTTAGTAACCTACTATTGATGGAACAATTATGTAACATTATTCCAGCAATATTGAACATGAAGCTGCCAGAAATAAAAGTGGAAATTTACATTTATATTTTACCAATCTTTATGTAATACTTGGTGAAATAGTTGCCTTTTAATATTATAATTTCTACTGAAAGACACAAAACAGAATAGTGTTGCTTACTGGAAAGTCTATTTCTGGTTTGATATGTTGAAGAGTAAAGCAATTAATTTATTATTTTCACACAGAAACAGGAAATTGCCTACTACTCCCTACTACAGCTTCTCTTAGGAAGCTTCTCTCAGATTTCATATAGTTGCTCTTGAATCTTAAAAATTAAATGGTGATTAAATAATGCAATACAAAACTGAGCTGTGATCTAAGTACTCATAATCTGTTTTGGTTCAATGTTGAATCCTGCTTCCTGTTGTATATGTAACAATATGTAACAATCAACAATCATATTATATTCGTTAATTTCACACACCAGACTAGAAAGAATTGAATATTTCATTTCCTTTACGCATGGAATATATATATATACAAGTTGGGGCAAATAGGAATGAATAACATTGTGGATGAGCTAAATGGTATACTATTTAGTTAATTATAGTTATTTGAACTGTTACTAATAGTTCAAAAGGAAGAAATAGGCAGTTTTAAGGAAGCTGTACAACTTACTAAAAGTAAAGGTATACTGAGGACAATCTAAACCCCCACAAAAATCTAAAGAACAGGTAAAAATGAAATGGACAAAACATCAGCAAGACAACAATGAAAAATATGAGTGCTTGCCTTTAATGGGCTACTTTTGCTTCCCTACTGTGCTGCCTTATCTGGACAGGTGCCTCATTTGGGAGGGATGAATAAGGAACCCCAGGTGTGTGTGTATATTGAGAGTAAATATTCCCAACTGAGTCATCCCAAGCTGCATATCAAAAGCAAGCAATCACCTATGTTGGGCAGCACTGATACAGGAAAGATAATGGAGGGAGATGATTATTATAATTACAATGGCAAAGACATTAATTCATCCTGCATAGAAGACGGAAATGGTATACCGCTCCTGGATTTTTACCAAGAAAACCACATGAATAGAAAATATAAAATGATTGATGTTATAGTGACATAAAATGGGCACATCAGAATAGATAGGATAGATACAACAGGCTACTGAAGAAGTACTGAAGTACAGTGTATTGATAGTATTTACAAAGTAGTAAAGTCTCTGAGACATCTAGTTACTGATGTCATACAGAAAAACCAAAATCTGAATCTGCAAAGAATATGGAATGTAAGAAGTATGAATATAGGAAAGCTCAACGCCCCAAATCACATCAAATCAAACCTTAATTATGGACAAAGATAAAGGTCTTGAAAAAGATGAACCAATTT